TCACAAGGCAGCAGGCAGCTTATGAACACAACACTGCAAAATTTTTTATTTAAAATTATTGGATACTAGAAAAAAAACAATTCTACTCAGAGAGTTGCCAAGTTGGACTTTTTCTAGTAAAACTTTTTTGAGATTGAAAATGTAGCAGTTTAAAACTGCAGAACTGTTTTGTTATATGATTACAGTCTTCTCTTAGATTCATCAGAGGTGCGCTCCAATTCAAGCGGAATTTAGGTGCGGCGCCAACTCAAGCGCAGGCGGCACGCTTAAAGCAAATTCCTGAAGTGCGCATGCGGTTTTCTGACAACGTTTTTGACATAACCGTACTGGGAAGGCCCAATGAACTGTGAACTTTTCAATATAATGATGACATGAATCAATGTAGTATGACGTATGAATTCTGTGTCTTTTCATAACAAAACTATGACCAAATGTTTTTTACGGTTAATGTAAGCTACCCCGAATTCACAAGTTTGATTCTTGGACGAATTAGCTATATGAGTGTCACTGATTTTCTCAATAGAAGTGCTTGGAATCTATATATTACGTCAAGTTTCTTACAATATTTTCTAGGAACCGTATTTTTATGTAAAGACTGCCGATAAAGTACCCTTATATTGTACTAACAACACAAGAAAAAATCTAACCAATGTTGTAGACCAAGTTTTCAAAAACAAAATGTGTTAACTTGATTGGAGGCTGTCAGTTCTTTACAATCTACTACTCGAGGTATATTCTCATATCATTCGTATCGTCATATTGTTTATTTTAAAGGGTACCGCTAATTACTAAAAAATCTCCATGAATTCCGTTCAATTAGGCTTTAATGCAGGTTTTAATACTTTTACTTACTTTTCCATGACTAACGTGCAATAATACCCATCTTCAAATTTTTATTTTAGATTACGACCCCTAAGATTTTTATTACAAAATTAACACCAACACCTGTTGGAGATTCAATCAAAGGCTACAATTTCACAGTCCCAGTGTGGTATCAAAGATTGAAGACACCTATAAACTACTACAACAGCAAGCGGTCAACAGTATTCTCACAAAGGCAAGTGCGTCAGATTTGATGCTTTTATAGTTACGATCTGTAGATAGACTTTACGGCCTACACCGTCTTAAGCTTTTATAAGCTTTATCTGTATTTCGATTAATTCAATCGAAAGTTTTAATAGAAGGCGAAATTCTTCCCGTTTAATCGGTGAGAATTTATTGACCACACGTACCGAGAAACCGCGTTTTAAAGCTGTCGTGCACAAAAAGAATGTGACCATGTCTCTTTTCTGAAACGTATAAAGAGATGAGCACGTAAAAAGGTAAATTGATGAGTTCAAAACGGAGTGCGTTACGAGTCGTTACACTGCGTCGATTTCCCCGCCGGCGGCTGTCTCCAGAAAACGGGAGTTAAGAAAGAGCGCGTACGTTGACATCGTGGATGTTCGCTCGCAAAAAATTCGTGTGTTGTATGTAGTGTCCGCTAAAAAGGCGAGCAGACGGCGTCGCGGCGGCGGGTCGACGGCCGCGCCCGGAATAGCCAGCAGCAGCAGCTATATTTGCAGCAGAGGCGCGCGCGCAGGGGGGGCCAGCGCGTGCCATTTCTGCACCACCGCCCGGTGCATCTGAGTAATGCCATTGTAATGCTCTCGATATAGTCCTAATGACTGGACTCACGCAGACGCGTCGTCGGCGACGACGCCGTAGAGGCTGAGGCCTGCGACTGCTCTGCCTTATTCAGCCATCGTAAATCATTGGCCAACGACGTACAAAACGGATGACGCTCTAGCCAATAATGCAACTATTTAATGAGTTCGATTCGAATATGAATCGGAGTGCAAAAGACAGACCTCCATGCGCAGTTACTATACCTAATGTATATTGATGAGGGCGAATCGTGGGAGTCACCCGTTGGAGCCACCGCTTTGCCGGGCGACTGTCATTTGTCATCGGTGGGCTCCTGTCACATAGCATACGCATACTTTCTTACACTCTGCAATTACCTTTTAGAGTCTGCAAGTTTGCCGAATCCACAAAAAACACGCACCCACTTAATGGCATGATTAATGATGACGTTAAAAAAACTACTACGGGAGCCGCCATCGTGTAATTTTTTGCGGTTAAATCGTTGCTTTTTTGGTATTTATACTCATTACAAACAAAGATTGCCTTTTTGCTCAACTCATACTAAGTTTATCATCATTAACGCCTTTGGGTGTGTCTAAAGATAGTTTTAATTGAGCAAACTCCGAGGAAGTGTCATATTACACAAGCGGGACAGGTCATCCGAAAATGGTATATTAATGGCGGTCATCAAAGAGAATATACGTGCACAAAGTCCATAAAGTCGTATGTCGCCCGCTCGATTTCCACATGCGTGGATAGTTTTCGCGACAGATGGCCCGCGTGAGTCACTAACCTGTATATGAATGCGCAGGATACGTTCCCAGCGTAATCGAGACGACAATATCTTATAAATCTTCCGTAATATCAATAAAACAGTAAAAAGCAACTAAAACGTCTGTTAGCGCTAAATGAGCAAGTTTATTAGCTCTTAATAAAGCGTTTCATTTGTAAAACGGTCGAATATCAAATATCGTACCGAAAGAGGAATGACATCAGTCGGTAACCGAAAACAGGAGTGACATCATTAATTTAGAAAATGAAAAGTCATGTAAGTTGCTGTGACACCATAACAAATGACTTACTGTGCAACTTCATCTTTTTACTGTTATAAAGAAATATTTATTAGCTCAACCTGCAAATGGTTTGTTTTTTATTTCCGCTGAAAGATTTGATCGCGCAGATGAAGTCATGAGCAGAAGCTAATGTAATTTGGCGTTTGTTGGAGTGTAAAAGTAGTAGTGAGGTAATAATTTTAATTTAATAGCTTCATTTCATTTTATTACTAACTGCAAAAGGACTAAGATATAATGATTGTCCAATAAATATCTTAATAAATAAGAATTTCCACTTAGACGTTTTGTGCAAGGAAGGATAAGACGTATAACGGCTGCACTTCACCTAGCTCGTATCTGTTATTTGTGAACTTGACAAGAGTCTGTCCTTATCATGCTTTATAACGAATGAAAAAGACATACTGATGACAAGTTTACAAATAGCAAATACGAATAGAATAGCATGATATATCAATTTAAAATAAAAGCTTATTATTTTTTTGTCAATGTAAGTTATGATAATATTCTTTCAGCACATTCAAAACCTCTTTAGATAAATTATGAAAATGATTGATTTCGTTATTTTATTTTAATAAATTAATTTCTTGCATCTGTATTATTTTTGTGTCAGTGATCTATTATAAATCCTCGCGAAATATTGTTAAGTTTAAGATTGTTTGATACATGCTTAAAGTGACTTTAATTAAAAAACCTTATAAAAATAACCATGATGATGATGATGAATAGTTACATTTAACTATGTATCAACCATCGAGGCCCAACATAAAGTAGATAATGCGTGCCCACAAGGTGAACACAGTTAACAATTTTATTGTTAACTAGCTGTGCCCCGCGGTATTACCCGCGGTTTATTAAGGATATTTTCCCGCAGTAAAACGTAGCCTATGTGTTAATCTAGGGTGTCAGCTAACTCCATACCAAATTTTATTAATATCGCTCCAGATATTTAAACGTGAAGACGTAACATAAATTTTAGCAAAAAGGGTTATATTACTGTAAGGACAAATTAATTAACTTTCTTCACATTCACCAATTTTAATTACTCGTATAATCAATTTAATGTAATGAGAGTAAGATTATTTTATGGCCGATTTCAAAATCTGCAAATCGCTATAAAGACGGCGTAATCTCAAATTATTACTCAAGTCGACCCGAACGGAAGGTGTAAATTTATTTCTGAGTTTAATTGAAAAAAAATACACTAACATTTCCTTCAATAAATTGTGTGCAAAAGATTATAATGATAAGCGTAACTGTAATGCGTTATCTTACTGTATTAATTATTAAATGTTATCACTCAATCAGTCGGAAAAAATGTTTTTGGGTAATATAAAATTAGTGTTCCGAAAAGTTTTTATGTTTTTAATACATTCATACGTGTTCCAATCAGAGATTATTATGTGTACCTAATTTTCAGAATGATTAGCACAATAGAGGTGGAATTACCATTTTTAGGGTTCCCTAGTCAAAGTTTCGCAACGCTATTGCTGTCACTCTGTCGCCTGCTCTCTGTCTGTCTATCCATAATTATGTTACGCGTCTCTAGATCGTAAATGCAATGAGTTAAATAACTGAAATTTTGTGATTTTATTTAGTATGCTTGCCCAGGCCGAATGGTTAGTTAAAAATTCAATTAAATTATTTTTCATGGTCCCATACATATTCTACTTTTTTACCTTAGCATGGGACACAGCTTTATCTGGAAATCGTTGAAGAGGATATAAATTATTATTCTTTATCAATAACAAAGAAATGGGTCATGTCAAAGTTTCTACTTAATTTTCAGACCATTTTTGTTACAGGTTCTATCTCAAAATCGAAACTAAGTAGTTGAATAGACAGAAAAAATAGACAACAATTCATAATGTACTTTGTAGGTAAGTTGTGTCGAAAAAAAGAAGTTTTTCCTTTCGTGGTTTGTTGCGATGTCTAGCTTAGAAACGAACTAAGTATTTCATATGTCAGTCATATTAGGTAGCTTCAGTAAAGGATTAAGTAGTGCATTGTACGGAACCTTGATAAAGCGAAGCCAGACTCGTGCTTTTAAATATAACCAAAATAGCAAGATTTTAACATTATGTTGGCTTCTATGTAAAAAGTTGATAGAAAATTGTGCAAAAAGTATTAGGAAAAGAAATAGTGTTCGTACATTATATCTACCTACTATTCTATGCGCGTAAATAAAGATGTTCTTATAGAGGATATCTATAAAATCTATTACCGCTATACGCAAAAACCTCGGTTAATTAAAATTTAGCTTTGGTCCGCTACCTAGCAAACACATCGCTAATACTGCCCGCGTCACATGCTAAGGACTCGTGTCGCTTTCGTTTCTGTACCGAATCTGTGACCGGCTCGGTTTCGGTGCGGTATCGTTTCGTATGGTTTGCTACGGTTTTGTTTGCGGGAGTGTTGGGACGGGGAGTCGAATGGTTCGGCAGCACTCGGTACACAGAGCATGTATCTGCTCGGTAAAGAATCTGTGCCGAAAGTACTAAGTGAAGAAGCTCTCTCATTTTATAGTTTAATAATCATGCACACGGTAAAGAATCTAAACAGATTCAGTACAGAAACACGAAATATGCCCGCACTGACCTGGCGAGGAAAGTGCTTAAAGAGACCGCTACTATCAAGATGCTCTTTCGCTATTGTTAGCATCGGTTCCCATCCGCGAATAAATAAGGCATTTTGTAAAACATAGACAACTAAAGTGGCATTAGCATATAATCATTTTGATCCAAAATTGTATTCTGAAGATTGCAATGGTTTAGAAAGCGCCTAATGAAGTACCCTACTCTAAAGTGACTAATCTTGACAAGATAAGAAAAAAATACTAAATAAACACTGAAACCTGTGGAATTGGTCTACAAAACGTCTCTTTTGATATTAAAATCTTGCAGTTTAATGCTCAAATTATACATGAGGATAATGGAGTTATGAGAATCATTTCTCATATCAATTCTTGATCATCCGGAAGAACTTCACATCTTCGACGAATAAAAAAGCATCTTAATTAATTACGACTTACAGTTCACATCGCCTGGGCAAGTCTTGCAGCACCTTCCCGGGAGCAGAACCGGCGTATCGCACGTAGGTTCCGGGCACTCGTTCTTGATGTTCCGACATCGTACTTTAGCCACAACTCTCCTTTTCTTTTGTACCTGTCAAAGACAATTCAAGCTTGAAATCATAATTGAAGGAAAGGATGTCTTCAAATGTGGACTGCAGCATTTATCTTCACAGCTGTGACCTTAACACGAATTAATTCAAATATTATGTAGTTGAATTCGTTTTCGATACGCGTCAAATGTCAAGAAGTTTTAAATGTTGAAATTTCCAAACAGCAAACAAAACAAAATTTCTTATGGCAGTTGACGCGTATCGAGATCGAAATCAACTATTCGAATTAATTGTTAGTTCGTGCTTAAGGTACTGAATTGACCCGTTGTGAAAATTAGGTCCAATAGAGTAGATACTAGGTCTAAAACACAATCCTACGTAGTAAAGGGCAGTTTGAAACAGGCAGGAGGTGTAGGTACATAAAACATTTAAAGAAAACTCCTATCGCGTCTTGCCAAAGATGAATACAAAAGATAAACTCATTACATTAAAATGCACACCCCACATATATTTATAAATATAGTAAAAAATATTATATTCATGTGTACATGGATAATTTACACCTACACGCAAATTCCTCAAACATGACAATGAATATGAGTACATAGATAGATAGCATAGAATATCCTTTGCGAATAGCAATATGAAACTAAGAAACATTTTATTGCCATCCGAATCGCATCTCTGTCTCGTTAGTAATTTGTAAAAACAATTTAAATAAATAAATAAATATTTCTAACACTCACACCAATTAGCCTAGCCCCAAAGTAAGCACTGTAAGGCTTGTGTTATGGGATGCTAGGATAACGGATAGAATACTTATACAGTACATATATAAGTATATTTATATAGAAATACATATTGAACATCCATGACTGGAGTACAAATACTCGTATTCGTCACACAAACATCTGCCCCCACCGGGATTCGAACCCGGGACCTCTCGAGTCGGCGACATCATGAAACCCGGCGTACAAACCACTCGACCACGGAGGTCGTAAACCTGTGCATAACATTAATTTCCCTTTGCAAGTCTGTAAACACTGGTCATTTATATTCCAAACTCATACTTTAATTCTATAGGGACTTTTGTAATATACCATCGTGACTCTAGGATAGAAAGAAAGAAAGATTTATTTTTTATTTTTAACAACATGTGTAAGTAAGATGTTATGATTTGAGGGTTTACATGACATGTCGTGCATTATCGGCATACAAATTCATCAGGTTATTCAGATTCCAAGTCAAAAATCTTAATATTCAATAATAAAACATGTCAAATTCATATGATTCCAATTCAATAATAAAATGTCAAAATTAGTCAAAAAATAGAAATTATAATTATAAACACATAATTACAATTAATTTTTTTTCATTTAAAAATTCCGATACATCATAATAACATTTATGTAATAATATATTTTTAATTTTCTTCTTATATAAGTTATAATTTAATTCTTTTATATATATCGGGAGTTATTATACATTCGAGGGGCCATACAGAATATGTTTTTTCCCATAAGAACTGTTCTCGAGTTTGGCATGCACAACCTACTATTATCGCGTCTATTGCGATCTATAACATCTGCCATTCTAACGAAAAGTTGCATGTTATTTTTTTACAAATTAATACTAAAACCTCAAAAATGTACATAGACGGAAGTGTCAGAATTTGCTCTTATGCATCTTTTTTGCATTTTAAATTCCCCAAGAAGATAATACCGTATTTTAGAATTGGCGCAGCTAAACCATGATATGCGGTAAGCAGGGCATCTGTGTTTAATAAACAAGACAATTTGAACAATGCATAGGCCGCACTACTAACTTTCTTACTAAGGTATTCTATATGAGATTTCCAATTTAATTTACAATCAATCATAATACCTAGAAATTTAGCACTTTCAACTTTTTAGGTAGGTCATTTATATAAACAATGGACCCAACGTACTTCCTTAGTGGCACTCCATATATAACTATGCACGTTTCTAAGCAGTAATATTCTTCCAAACCCGATTTAGGATCAATTTGTGAGATGACAGTATACTGTTTTCTCTTGACTAAATAACTTTCAATTAATTTTAATATATTTCCTCTAATGCCATACGCGTCAAGTTTTTTTTAATAAGATGTCATGTTTTACGTGGTCAAAAGCCTGTGTCGTGTCACAATATATTGCAGAAATAGGGTTTTTTTTATCTATATTAGATATTACATTATTTAGAAATTCAAATAAAGCTATGTTAATATTTTTATTTGACGAAACCCATTTTGTTCTTGGCACAAAATATTTTTTCGTTCCAAATACGTATACATTTTATTGTACATATATTTTTTTTAAATTTTCGACTTAACTGGATAAAAAACAATCGGTCTATAGCTATTCATCAATAATCAGTTTCCTATCTTGAACAATGGTGTAACAAAAAAATTTTTAAGCTTGTCTGGAAGGCCTGTGCCCCAGCAGTGGGGACATTAATAGGCTGATGATGATGATTATATCGACGAGCTAGCGTACAATCACCACTTAATATCAATCCCGTTTCCAAATTAAAATAAATTTATTTCTCAACATCAATTTAACAAAGTTTTGAGACACCCCAAAAAGTAAGCTCCACTTCGTTTCCAGTTTCCAAATTATTTTTTCTGTTTTTATATCGCTTTGCTTTTCATGGGTCTTTTAATATCATCTTATGATTCTCTTGTTTCTAGTATAACAACTTTTTAATTTTGTTTTTGTGCTCCTTGTAATATTTGCGACGTTAAAAAAACTTTCAAAGTTACTTTTATCAACTACCAATAAATGTTTTAAGCTTTAAATTTGTTGTTGACAGGTAGGAAAAAATACTAAGAAAACGGCCACATGCGAATCGTACTTGTACACGAAGGGTTCCGTACTAATATCGTAATCACATGCCTTGATTGAAGAAGACGCCGAAAGTACTTCAAGTTGTTAGGAAACTGAGCGTGTTAGATTTTGAGTCCTTACTCACAAGAATAAATAAGTGGTGAAAAAGCTTTTGCCCCGGTCACCTATTTTCAATCATATTGTTGAAGCGAGACTTCATTTCGGACGGGATGTAACTGGAAAAATCCTATGGATAAATGAAACGGAAATGCGTCACGAGCTTGACACGGCTATATATATATATGTTTGTGTGTGTGTGGGATGCGTGCGCAGCTCTTCCCAACGAGAATGAAAGTTGGAAGGTAACTCGGCAAAGGCTGAAACGCTACAAGCGTCACGAGCGTTACTCGTGACAATATATACATAAACACACACATATAAATGAGTGATGCGTGCGCTGCTCCATTCCGCTATGCCTTATGCACCGCTTACTGTTAGGTTATTTAACAAAAGAAGTTTCACTTCAGATGTGATATCCGTGCACACTTTTTTTATATTTTCTTATTTATAGCTTAATATGGCATAGTTAGATACTTTTTAAGCATTATATTTGACGTTCGGTATAAGGAAGACCATTGATCTCCCATTTGGCATGCGAAGTACATACACTTGCGTTATCTATTTGATTCTATGTCTATGATAGTAGTAACATAACATTTAAATAAAGCGACTGCGAAGGCCGCAAAAGAAATACAATCTGCTAAAATTTCAATTGTTTACATAATACGGTTCTTTGATACCAATAGCCCGCTGGTGATTAACTCTGGGCACTGAAACATAAAATATTTTTCGTGTTATTTGAAAACTAAAAAACAAAGCATTGATTACTGCACTTATTGGCTACTGTGGCATAGTGTTCCTCATATCAAATATCATTATTGCTACTTCATACAATTTTATTAGAAACTTTAAAATTAAATCAAACAGTAATATTAAATCAAAATAATAACCACAAAGACGAGTTTCTACTGTTGTGTTGAAACTCGTTTTAAGATTGGTGTACTTATTAGAGAACTTACATCACTGAAAGTATTTATTTCTGTATCTGGTCTTAATAAACATTTAATTCGATTTCCAAATAGCACTAAATGGGTAACCGGCAACACTTGCATCTTCTTCAAATATCCTTTGTTCGAATCCAGTTATAGGAAATATTTATTGCCTGGTCATAGTAGCTGAGATCAATGTAGCCTTAAAGGCCTTGTTTTAGTCAGTAAGAGTCTGGCATAACCTTGCAGCCGGCTGTATCCCTGAGGTATCAATGAGAATTTCACAATCGCTCCCCCGCATGGGAGGAAACAAAATATACAATAATCAGAAACTTATTCTTAATATATTATATTTATACTGTCCAGTTTGGGACTAAATAAATTGTTGTAGGTGATTCAAGTGATATTATGGTTTTCAATATGATATTTTGTAAAATTAATATATAAATATATTATGTTGATAACCAATTGTCTAATAATAACATATACATTTTATTGGTGTTAAATATTATTAAAAATATAAAATAATTATAGATGACCTATATTTCACAAATATATCATAATAAAGTAAGGACCTTACATCATTTGCGTTATCAAAGAAATCGTAAACTATATTGTGAGAGATTATTGTAATATATATAATGGTTACTAAAATCACATTAGCCTCATTAACATGATGTGTTTGTGTGGGCAGTTTAAACAATAGTATTCAATACGTACCGGTAAACACTCACATTTGAAGCAGTACATCACACCGAATGGTGGTCCCAGATCAGCAAACCATGTAGACCCCAACTCTCTCGCCTGTTTATCGAACTGACATTCTGAAACAAGAAAAAAGTTACTTAAATAGTTTAGGTATAAACATTTTTTAAAGGAAATATATTTTAAAAGAGCTCCACTAAAGATATAAAATCGCAAAGACCTATAATATATACATTTCTACGTATATATTTAAGTATATTTTTATTTTTTAAGCATTTACTGCCAGACCTAACCTTAACCTATCCACGTGGACGAGGCAGCAGTCGGGACTCGAACCCGCGCTATCCGTGCGAATGCACTGACCATTATGCTACCGCAGCCCTATAAACGGAAATATAAGTTAACTAGCTGACCCAGCGAACTTCGTACCGCCATAAAAATAGGGGCAGGTGGTAGAAAAGTAAAAAAGAATTAAAAATTAATTAAAAAAACATTGTTCAGCGGACAAAATTATGAATCTAAACCATTCTCAGATCCCCTTGAACACACACAAAAAATTTCATCAAAATCGGTCCAGTCGTTTAAGAGAAGTTCAGTGACATACACACTCACAGAAGAATTATATATATAAAGATTACAACACAACGTAATCTGATAATATTAACTTCTATAGCGTGCGCTTCTCTAAATATTCGGGCAAAAAATGGGCCGTCGGCGGACATTTTTCAACGACTTGGGACTTTTGTCCGCAGTGGAGGAAAAAAAAATATTACTTTCTTTACATACCTACCAGTTAATATTTGTCAGTATTCTAGCTGATGCACAAAGCATATTTTTAACTTAAGCAACCTCTGTTCACCGTTATAATGCTAAGGATTCACATTGTCTTTGTATTCGAACATTCGGTTAATATACCAGTATTACTTACTATGCTAGACATAATCATGAAAATGTTGAAATCTATAAAAGTGCACATAGCCGATATTAGTTTGAATATTATGCTGTATTATTTAAATAACATTGTTATATAACATTAAAACTCTCTTAAATGTTCCTGCAAATAATTCCATACGTCACAACCCACATCATGTCGGTTTTAATACCTGTCTAAATATCGGCACTACCATCTTCTAAATTACACTGCACTGTAACGACTTAACTAGACGGCCCATTTTGTGTTCGATACATCATATACATTTCTTACTTATTATTATTAGATTGGATACTGAATCTTGCAACAATGTTGCTGTATTGAACGTTATATTCTTAGCTCTGATCAACTGTATAATAATATATATAGACACAAAATAGTATGATCGCAGCATCACTTTTTTATACTAAGCGCAGAAAATTACTCCACATCACCTGATATTAAGTGTAGGTTGTGTCCAGTCGCAAAGATACATATGCAGGGTTTAATGAAAAAGCTAAAGTGATGTAAAATAAATCTTACAAATTGAAAAGAATTAGGTAGGATGAGGATTATTTATTATTCCTACACAATGAGGATCTATTTGGTATTTTCAGAAATCATAGCTTTAAAGTGCTTCATATTTCACTATCAGCAGTCCATATTCTCACCAAGCACTGATACGTTTTCCAAGATAACTTTGATAATACAAATTATTTACTAACTAATCGGCTCGTGTATGATTTATGCGTGCCGGTAGGCGAATCGATCCAGCAGTTAACGAGACATTTACATACCGCACTCGCAAGGAACATCTAAAAATAAAAGTTGCAGATTGTAGTGTTAAAACAAAACGACTGTCCAACGTTAAGGCAAAAACTGGTCACAACGTCTGACCGGCCAGATCTAGTTCTTTTTGTGAGCTCGTTGGAGGACAATCAACAAATTCGCGACAATACCCACCATTCCAAAAAAAAGAAAGATGTTTACATTTTTTTATGTTAAAAGGGTGGCAAACAAGCTTATGGCTTGCCTTATGGTATCACAACTACCACCAGAAGATAGATTATTTTACTGTGATCTTCTGTAAGGTGTGTGCTTCCCCAGGCGGGCGCTCCAATTCGTGCCGAAAATCCGCTATACCTTTCTTGACATTCGCAAAAAGCCGTAAAACACCGACTCACATACTATTAATACTTCTTTCTTAACGTGTTCGTAAAGAAGAAAAAAGGCTTCTATCCTACTTCGATCAGGATTTGATCCTGTAGCAATGCCAAAACAGTGCCAATTGACATCGTATCCCAATGATTTTTCAATAAATTTTCAATTAAGCATTTTATTTTCTTTATAACTGTAATTCTATGTTATAAATTAATTGCCGCATTTATTCTGAGTCGAGAACGACTTGTGCGACTTGGCTGATGGTTTTTAACGTTTTCAACAATCAGCAACTACCAGAATATCCAAAAAATAGGATGGCAGTGATGCTCAGTATTGAAAAATAAACATCTCTTATCTATTAGACAAGTCCGTCCGTCCGTCCGTCCGTCCGTCCGTGGTGCTATTTCAGCGGCCAAACCGTAAGAGATAGATATAGAGAATGTTTAAGTTATAAGTTAAGAATAGTCTGATAAGACTACAAACCGGATGTGAGTAACGTAGAACTTCCGGTTTTCGAGAAATCACGTGATTTCTATTTCAAACGAAACCACACAAAATCTCCGAAGTTCTCAATTAATTAAATACATTTTTTTTGTGAACATTTGGTTCACTGGTTTGCTAGTTTTTAATCTCTTCTGTATATTTCACCTATCTAACTAGAAGTTGGTGGCTTGTTTTACAAAATGTTAAAACATTAATTTAAAATATTGTTAGACATCATCGATAAATTAATAGTATCGTAGATCCATTATCAGATGCGTCAGGACGATAAAGTGGCTGTCTTCTATAAATAGGCATAACTGTTATCTCCTCGTAACTATTTAATTAACCCCACTCCTTGAGTGCACTGATAACGAGCGCGACATGTTGCGTGAGAACATATTGGTCGTTGCGCCAATCAACACTGCTTTATCAATACAGTTGTGTGCATCTTCTGTTGGTAGCAACTGGGTAGTACTACATTCAATGTGTGCCTACAATGGATAGGGGATATTACACACGGGCTATTGTCAAAATGGGTGCATGTTACTCGTAATAAGGAAGGAGGGTGGCGCGACGGCGGCGCCAGCGTCGCGGATGCAACAATCACATCGCATTTCAAGCGAGTCCATAAACTCTGGCCTATCTCGCAAACTTCCTCTTTACCGAAATCAAGGCAATGCCTACCATTAATGATTTATAATAAACTCAAGCAGACAGTTAAAAACTCTCAAAAAAAGTTACGTTATGCCTTTTTTACCTTACAAGAACACGGTGCCAAGAAACCGTCATATTGCCACTCCTGCTCAATCTTCAGATCAGATAACTTTGCCAAATCATACCTCACACCTATACTGAACATTAGTATACACACAATTCACGTCGAATAGGAATACACACGTGAAAATATTATCTTTGACACGATTTAGGAATATAAAGTGAAGCGAGACAACTCGTAACCTTCTCTAGTTTTCTCGGAACCGTTGGCGACGATCCAGAAACTCTTCGCCAGGGAAATGAAGTATTGGCGACGCCCGTCTTATGCTTCTTTGACGATCTCTTTATGGAATTCACATGGATTACAATATTGCTTATAAAATTTTATATAGCTAATGGCCTCTCTGTATATACGAGTAGCATGACGCGGGTTGGAATTGGAAATGTTGTATGCAATATTAATCGTAGATATATGATGTATCTATACGATGCAATATACATGCAATTTGCGATCTCTCAAGCGTGGCGTGCACGGCCCCACGGTTACAGTATTGTGTCATAGATCACGGTGAGTATGAGTTACATGTCAAATGGCTCCAAGTATTGGTGGTATTGAAGCGTGTGCAAGTCGCTTCAATAAATAGTATACTTCAATATGGGATGAAAGCCGAGCGCCGTATTTCAAGAAACGTGGGTAGAGCATAAATTGTTCACTTCGAATTAGCCATAAGGAGGATATTTTGACGTTCATTCTGCCGACTACTTTACTTTCGGAGACGTACCGCAAAACCGAACAGATTATCTGGGTGATATATTATTGGCATGTGCGCCTTTTCGTCGGCTCATAACCAAAATCAACATACTCCTTTTGTCTTTGCTATGTTTGGTCAGGCGACGTAATAAATCATTATGTAACTATTAATGAAGCATCCGTCCGACCACAGCGTTGTCTTCCCAATATATAATTATGTCACAAGATAGTAAAGACAACACCATTCATTGATCTTAATTTATCGTTTACTAAAATATTCTATTAAGTAAAAAACCTGATTGGGTAAACCCTGGTAATGTCGACAGTGTCCTAGTACTCGTCACTTTACAAATAATTATTAATTAAAATTTCCTGTTTATATTAAAGTATAAACTTTTAGTGACACGTCATTCATGATTTTATACTACACCATTAAAATAGTAACATTTAGTTAAAAAAAGGAATGGTGTAGCATGGAAGCTAAAACAAAGTGGAGCTCTCCCTGTCTTTCGCTTTCAAAGTTAAGTCAGTTAACCTTAACATTACCACTCTGCATTTGATCCTTTATATTGCTGAATATATAGGCTGTTTACTGAATGAAATTATTTCATGTAATAGTTTATTAAATTATCTGACGATTTAATACCTCTCAAATGTTAATATTTAATAAATTTATAAAAATAACATTATTTTGACGGTTACTAGGGCAGGTTTAGAACCGATACCAATTAACGTAATTATACTTTCTACTACCGGACGAGCAGGGAAACGGCAAGGCGACATCGATTCACGGTGGCAGTTCCAAAGACTCGCACTAAGCGATTCGCGTCCAGCTTCATCGTGCGGACTGCCAAACTGTGGAATTCCTTGCCTGAGCCCTTGTTCCCCGAACACTACAATCTAGCGGTCTTCAAAGCAAGAGTGAACCGGTTTTTATTAGGTAAGCGCGCTCCATCGTAGACCATAATATTGCTTTCCATCAGGCGAATTATGGTCAAGCGCTTACCTATTAATGAATAAAAAAAAAAAAAAAAAATAGTAAAATAGAGCATAAAATATTATCAAAGCCGTAAACATTAGAAGTGATCATCAGTTGGTTTCTTGGTTAGTAGTTGGAGGCAGGTATATTGAATAACATTGACATAAGGCTTGAAATATCTCGATAGTTATGATCTTCGCTCCGTCTAATACCTGCCAAACCCCAATAAGCTATCTATTGAAATTTAAAAACCCTATCGAAGTCATTGAAGATTGATTACATATGAACAATCTTAGTAATCCGTACAGTGGGAACTTAACTACTTTAAAATTCACTGTATAATTATATAAACTCTCCCAGAAAGGACCCCAACTTATGGACGAGAATTGCAAAATGAGTCTACAGACTCAGGAGACAAAAGTCAGTACCGGTGACTACATTGAATGATAATTCTTCCTCTGTTTAAGATTCTTCGTCATTAATAGCGTAATCATTATTATATTATATCAATAAAAAAAAATCTAGCAGCAAAAAAGAGGATCCAAAGTGCTTTTTTTATTATTTGTATGAAAACCGATGTGTAATAAATCCATTCTGTAACTGATTATCGAGAATTTTCATCAATTCTCTTTTATAGATACCAAACTGAAACTTTTCTTTAGAAAAACCCTAACTGTAAAATAATGTTCAGTTCCAGTTATTATTTCTTAAAGTGTGAGAATGACTCTTCTTAGTCGACAACGACTGCTGGCGTCCAATTATGCTGAAGACATGTACACCCGCTCAGTCAGTCCAAAGACTGGCTCAACGGCAACGGCAAAACATAAGAGGCCCCTCACCTCATTGATGGGCCGTAACCTCGTCGGGCGCAAGGTCTGCCATCAGGCGAATCCCGCCCGGCGAGGCAAAGTCGCTGGGTGAGGCCATGGGAACCCGTAAGGATACTTCCGCGACCTCACCAGTACTGTCCGAGTTGAACGGACCCACCCAACTTGGAGATGCCCCGAGGCTTCGAGGACCAATAGACAGAGGCCTATGCAATGCAGGGCCCGGCCCTTCCAAGTTCGGGCCACACTGGCCTCTGTCGGTGTTGGCTAAGAACCGGTTATTACGCCTTCTCCTAGTCCTCACCCAGAAGGCTGACACCCTTTACAACAACAGCTGTAACATCCTCCTCTGATGACTTTTGTACAAACGAGGAGGATGTTACAGCTGTTGTAAAGGCTGTCAGCGGTCAGCTAGGCTAAAGCTTGTTAGCCTTCTGTTCCAAAGATATTAACTGTCATCGGATAGGTCAATTGTGATAAAACTGAGAGAATTGGTCGTGAGAAACAAAATGTGGTTCAGCTAAACCACTGAGTGGAACAAAAAATATCTAAATAACACTGATTTCAAAGCAAGACATGAACAGAACACATAATCAAAATAAAAATACAAGTAGATAACAGTAGCATCATATGAACTAATTAATTCATTTCGGAATATCTAGAACACTGTCTGCGGATCCAAACCAAAGTTATATTAGAGTTAAATCGAAACGCAAATTATAACTAAAAAATATAAGGCTGTACTGAGTTAAAGTCGTAAGCTATAGGTTACCGATGAATATTTAAAAAAAAATATGTATCATTGTCAGTCTTTGAATATGATACTTATTCAGAGATGTCAGTTCGTCTAATAAGAAATGTTTGAGGTTAGAAGTTAGAACAAGAAAAATAAATTTAGCGCTTTAATAATTACACCCTCCTTTAGCAGCAATTAAAGTAAATATTAATAGTTATAATGAGTTTGCATATAAAATGGACAAAGAATATTTCAAATTATGAGAAACTTGAAAACAAACACTGAACAAGAAGATAATAGTTATCAAAAACTAACTTATTTCTTGCTTGATGCACTGGCCGCACGTCTGGTCTTGGCAATGTTGGAAGATACAAAATGTACTGCTACTTCGGCGACTTGACTCTGGCTACTGAAGATGCTGGGATCTTATTTAGACTGGTACCACTATTGGAGCAGGGATCTTTTTCAGGTCGGCCAGATTGCTCATTCGATTTCGCTTGCCGTCAACTCCAATGACAAACATGTAACCCATCCGCGTGAAACATTTATTAATACCAAACAGCTCTCGTGCAGCTATGAAAGCATTGTGCCTGTTTTTTGTAAGAAACTCTGTAAAAGTTAGTCCCGAGGCTATCACTAAGAAAAAGACAGTAAATAAATATTCCTCGTCTACAAAATTATTATTGATAAGCTACCGTCTATAAGTAATATTTAGGGGGCACGTTATATGAACATAGGTAACTATAATATAAAAAAAAAATTAAACACTTACTTAAATTATTTATTAAAATTTCCTATATTTAATTTACTTTGTGTTTATATAACCATAATCTTCGCAACTGGGAGACCTGTCTGTGAATCACTCAGAAAAGCTGTCGTACTGAGCTTCTGCTTTAATGTTTATTAATCAATGCAAAAACAGTTAACTTATCTATATACTAATAACTTAAAATATTATTATATATATTCTTATCTCAAAGTGTTTGATCATGGGTTCTGAACTGTCAAATGATAGAATTATAAACTATAAAAAAAAACACTCCAATTATGACGTATTATAAAATTATTTTTTTATTGTACTACATCCTATTTACTAAGAACAATTTTTTTTAAACTACTTTCGTATAGTTACGAATAGAATCCAATTTTCTTTGATGAATTGCAACGTAAGACTGTCTAGGGCGTTTCGTAGCCTAACCGTAGTCATCACAGCTGCAGTAAAAATCTGCAAAAAATCAGAACAATCTACCGAATTTGACGCATACTGTGAAGTATTAATTGTACTGGACTATTTTGCTGTTTTTATTTTATTTGCGAACCTTTAAATCAGGTCCTATCGTGGTGCGTGTAGCATTCGTCGCCTCAGGTGTGCCGGCCACAGATTATGTAAACTGCCGGTGTCGGGTGTCACGGCAGGTGTTGGTGGAGACCAAGTAATATGAATTATTCTCGTCCCACCTAGATTACTGTCTTTATAAATTAGAATAACGCTCTTTAGACGACCCGTTGTTATGGCAATTATACTAATTTTATCATAATTATTGTTTTTTATTAATGATTTTGATTATCTGTCTATAAGGTGGTAGGAATCAACCACCCGAAGTTTTAAAGAAAGTTTTTTTCTGGAGGCGATTTAATTTTTTTAAATATATCGATAAAAATAATAATCGACAGCGCGAGTGTATGCTTTGGTTTTTAATACGACTAAGTACTGGTTTCTATTCACTGTCAATGATAAAAAATCCATGATGTGTTTACGGTAATTCAATAGATTCTTTTAAATAATGTGATTACACAACATTCTAAATATTATTTAAAAGAATGTTTATGCATGTTCCATAACACAGATTGC